CTGCTGTGCGACTGCACCGTGCTGGTGGGCGCCGCGCGCTTCCCCGCGCACCGCGCCGTGCTGGCCGCCTGCAGCGTCTACTTCCACCTCTTCTACCGCCACCGGCCCGGCCGCCGCACCGTGCGGCTCGACGGCCACATCGTCACGGCGCCCGCCTTCGGCCGCCTGCTGGACTTCATGTACGAGGGCCGGCTGGACCTGCGCAGCCTGCCGCTGGAGGACGTGCTGGCCGCCGCCAGCTACCTGCACATGTACGACGTCGTCCGGGTCTGCAAGGGCCGGCTGCGGGAGGACGCCCGGGGCCCCGCCGCCCCCTGCCCGGCCGCCCGCAAAGCCGAGCTCCCGCCCGCAGGGGTCCGGGCCGCCCTGGCTCTGCGGGCCTCGGGGCCTCCTCCGCGGCAGAGCCCTGGAGAGTCGTCCGGGGCCCTGGACCTGTCCCTGAAGCCCGGCCCTAGGCCAGAGCCCGGCAGCCCGCCCCACCCGGGACCGGAGCCCGGCCCCCAGCCCTGCGTCCTCCGGACGGCCGTCCGCAGCCAGGGGCAGCCAGGGGCCCCGCCGCCAATGAAAGAGGAGCCAGACTCGACGTCTGAACGGGAGGATAACGGCAGCCCCCGGGGCCCCCCAGTCTGTGCCCCTGCGGAGCGGGCCGCGGACGCCGAGTCGCTGCCCGTCTGTGAAGCTGGCAACCAGCAGCTGGGGCTAGACGCAGAGCCTGCGGCGGGCGTGGAGGAGGTGGGTCCCCGCGGGCACCTCTGCATCTGCCCGCTGTGCTGCAAGCTGTTTCCCAGCGCCCACGCCCTGCAGCTGCATCTCAGCGCCCACTTCCGAGAACGGGACGGGGCCCGGGCCCGGCCGGCTCCCGATGGCACCGTGCCCACGTGCCCTCTCTGCAGCAAGACCTTCTCCTGCACGTACACGCTGAAGAGGCACGAGCGGACGCACTCGGGGGAGAAGCCCTACACCTGCGTGCAGTGCGGCAAGGCCTTCCAGTACTCGCACAACCTGAGCCGGCACGCCGTGGTGCACACGCGGGAGAAGCCGCACGCCTGCCGCTGGTGCGAGCGCCGGTTCACGCAGTCCGGGGACCTGTACCGCCACGTCCGCAAGTTCCACTACGGCCTGGTCAAGAGTCTGCTGCTGTGACGGTCCCCTGCATGCCTGGGGGAGGGCTGGGGGAGGGCAGGGGGAGGGCAGGGGGAGGGCAGGGCAGGCCTCGCGGTGGGACAATGTGTGGAAGAGGAAGTTTGGGTAGACAGAAGCCCCCAAGGCTGGATGGCTCCAAGTGTCCACCTGAAAATTCCTGCTGCTGCTGCTGCTGCTTGGGATGAGCCCAAACTGGTGACTTCTCTGCCTCCCCTGTGCCAGGTTGTGCCCTGCCTAGGCTAGAAGAGCACTTCCTCAGTGTCCCTTCCTGCCAAGTCCCCGGTGTGTGTGTGTGTGTGTGTGTGTGTGTGTGCGTGCACTTGGGCTCAGGCGTCCTCCGTGTGAGGTGGGACTTCCCCCGCTGCCCCTCTGATGCGCTTGGTGTCTTTGTGAGTTTGGTGTCACCACAGGAAAGTTGGCGGTGAGCAGCCAACAAGGCGTTGTGAAGGAGTGTCTCTCAGCGGGTGGCAGCAGGAAGTCTGCTCAGGAGGGCTGGGGCACCATCAGACCCAGCAGGGGTCCAGGAGGCATGGCTGGCATCACGGGGCACAGCCTAGCAGGACCCCCGCAGCATGAAGACGGCCGGCTAGAGCCAGTGGCCCTGGAGTTTATTGGTGGGTGGAAAGTGGATCTTGATGCACTAACTTTGTACAGAAGATTGAGACCTGAGAACCAGGTTCTCTTCAAAGACCTCGGAGGTTGGCAGGGGACTGTGTGGATGGATGGCAGACCTGATTACGACATCCAGGGTGCTTCTAAGGAGGCAAAAAAATGAGTCGCTGCTATGAGCTGAGCTCTGGGTGTGGGAGGCTGCCGGACCCCTGCAGGTACCCCAGGGGCTCCAGGGCCATCTGAACAGTGCTGAGAATATGAGTCAGGGCCTCCCTAACAGGGCAGCCTCTGGCCTCCGGTGTCGGGCATGGCTTGTGGAAGTGTGGGGGCGGGCAGACCACCCAGGCCAGAGCCACGGCTCCCGCCTTTTTCTGGGACACGCCTCTACCTTGGCAGTGGTCAGCTCACCCACTCTCTGAGCAAGTCTCGCTGCAGAAGTTCAGTGGTTGGGGGGAAGCATGGGGAACCCCAGCCCCCTGGAGGTCACCAGGTAGCAGAGTTGCCTGGGCGCCCGTGGTCCCCAGACCTTGCCAAGTGGCACTGAGGGTGGAGCCAGCCAGCTCTAAGTCGTCGTCCCTCCTCCTGATAAGCTTGATGTGTTCATCTCACCTGCCCGGCTCGGAGGAAGTGGCCACTGGCCTCTCCCTGCTCTGGCCAGATCCCGGGTCACCTTCCTGCAGGCTCTGGCCTCTGCTGTTGGGTCTGTAGCTAGCCTGGAAGCCAGTTCCTCTCAGTGGTGCTTGGAGGCTGCAGGCCAGAGAGCGGAGGACGGGGGGTGGGGGGAACTCCTGCTTCTGAGTGTCCGGTTCCTGACCTCAGGACCAGAGTTTGCACTCTGAGCCATGTGCTCCCGGAGCAGAGGCATTTGTCTGTCTGTCAGTCTGTCTGTCTGTCTCCTGGCCCGTGATTGGGCCTGCAGTCCTGCAGGTTAGCAACTCCAGCACTGCCCACAGGGGGCCTGGTGCTACTGCGTCTCTGGTTTCTGGGTGCTTGGGGCTGGGGGAGGCAGACGCCAAACCTGGATACGATGAACACTGGACTCCTTGTCTTCTGGGTTGTCACTGTGAAGCTAATGTAAAGAGACGCAATCAATTTTAACATTGTGCCCGGCACGGTTCAGGTGAAATGCACACAGCTATGTCTGAGACGCTGTCTGTGGGAGAGCAGAGGAAGGGGTACAAGCCCGGGTCCAGGTGTGGCTGCTGTGTAGGTCTCCAGGGCCCCTGCTTCTCTGCCGCTCTGCCCCACGAAGGGGACCCAGGCGGGAGAGGGCTCTTCCTGCCTGGCGCTTGGCTGGAAATTCGTTTGCATGGCCAGCCTGTGCCACCCTTAGCAATGTGCGCTGTCTTCCTGTCTCCACACTGGCTGCATGACGGCAGACTAATAAAGCCAGCACAGGTGGACACGGCTATGGTTATTCTGGGCACAGGAGGGGCAAGAAGGGGAGCCCTGCAGGGCTGGGCGATGGAGGCGGCATGGTGCACTCGGCTCTGCCCCGCACGAAGTGCTCCTGCCCCGTGGGAGGGTGCACCCCCTTTCCCCGGTCTCGGGGGGGGGAGGTGTCCTGGGTGAGGGAGGGGCTGGACCTGAGCTGTTCTGTCCTGCAGCCGCGGTCTGTCCACCCTTCCCCGTCCTTGTCTTTGGTCTCCTCCCACCTCACTGAGACCTCCCACAGATTGGACTGGGCCCCGGGGGCTGTGTGTCCTCCACCAGCCCCCCCGTGGAGAGCCGAGGGCCGCACTGCCCTGTTGGGGGTTAGGTGGGAGGCAGCGTTTCCTAGAGCCGTGGTGAGCCCTCGGGGGCAGGCCCTGGGCGACGGCCTCGGTGTCTGCCATCATCAGCCAGCCATCTACCCAGGCCAGAGTGTCCACTCCACTGGAGAGAAACCGGGGCAATGCTGGGCCTCGAGGTGAGACAGCTGGTACCAGAAGGCCCTGCCAGTGCCCGGGCCAGTGGGTCCCCAGCCCTCCTCCCCCTGGCCTGGCCTGGCCTGCAGGAGGCCCTGTCATGTTCCCGCCAGGCCCTTCCCGGCCTGGCAGGAGGAGGCTGTTACCATGACAACACAGAAGAAGGCCCGCCTCAGGTCCCCTTGGAGAGGGGGCTTCCCGGGACCCCGCCAGCCTCTCTCTTGGGCAGCATGGCCTTCCCGGCCCTCGCTGGAGCCCACCTAGCTTGTCATGTTTATGCCTCTGGTAAACTGAGGTAGGTGAAGAGCAGTTGGCGGCCAGTTGGGAACTTCTTTTCCTGCTGTTTGCACACTGGGACCCAGAGTCAGGGGCCTCAGGCCACCTTGTGAGAGCGGCTCTGCGGGCAGCAAGGACAAAGAGAGGTCCAGAGAGCTCGACAACGCAGCATAGATGGCGCCAGGCCATGCCCCCTCACGGTGAGCACTGGGGCGGGGCTCTGGACGGGGTGAGGTGAGTGGATGTGGGCCTGAGCAAGCTGCCAGGCGGGGCGCAGGAGAGACCAGACAACCAGACTCCCCCGACCCCCTTCCCAGCCCTGGCCACGGAGCTGCCCAGTTGAATAGCCTTCCCAGACCAGAATATTTTGAAAGATTCCCCCAAAGAACTTAGGACAGACGGTGCAGGTGTGTCTCACATCTGAACCTCCCAAGTATTGCTCCATAACTGATCTTCCATAGCTTCTCTCTTCCCAACTTTAGGCCCAAATTCCTTTAGCCACACAAACTACATCATCACAGCCATGGTCTTCAGTACAAAGACCCCAACATCCACCCCATCACCTGAATAACTACCTCCACTACCTGTCCCTCCACACCTCCATCTGTCCTGCAAACCACATGTCCATCACTTCCTCTACCTCCATCACCTCTTCCGCCTCCAACACTACTTCCATCTCCCATCTCTACCTCCACCTCTGTCATCGCCTCCACTTCCAAAACCACCTTCACCTCTATCTGCATCACCACCTCCACCTGCACTTCTACCTCCATTACCACCTCCATCACCATCACTACTACATCCATCACCACCTCCACCATCATTACTACATCCATCACCACCTCCATCACCATCACTACTACATCCATCACCACCTCCACCATCATTACTACATCCATCACTACCTCCATCACCATCACTACTATATCCATCACCACCTCCACCTCCACTTCTACCTCCATTACCACCTCCACCTCCATCACTACTACATCCATCACCACCTCCATCACCATCACTACTACCTCCACCACCACCTCCACCTCCATCACCATCACTACTACCTCCATCACCACCTCCACCTCCATCACCATCACTACTACATCCACCTCCATCACCATCACTACTACATCCATCACCACCTCCACCATCACTACTACCTCCATCACCACCTCCACCATCACTACCTCCATCACCACCTCCACCATCACTACTACCTCCATCACCACCTCCATCACCACCTCCATCACCATCACTACTACATCCATCACCACCTCCACCTCCATCACCTCCTCACTTCCACCGCCTCTGCCATCACCACTTCTAACTCCTTCAGTCTCGTCGCTGCCTCCATCACCTCCCTGTCCCCTTCTGTAGCGACCATTGCCTCGGCCACCTTTCCTGCCACGCCTCCTGGCCTCTATGGGAAACTCCTGACTCTGGGGTGGCTTCTAGGGTAAGGAGGTGGCTTTAATGGTTAGTATGCTGAGAGTTGCCCAGACCAAGGGCTCCATTCTCCTCTGAGTATCTGTACTTCCTTCTGCCTTCCAGCTTTCAGTTCCTCCATCTCTCTCTCCTCCTCCACCACCACTCCTGGCACAGAAGACAGCAGATCTGTATGGTCCTATTACGGGCCTGTGCGTCTCCTAGGCATGTTCCATGGAGAGAGGCTCTCTCAGCCTCCCATGGCGTAGGCCCTGCTGATCCTGCCCATCAGCCACCTGTCCTGTCCTGTCTCAGGACGCCTTATTGCTTCCTCTTCTCTACCGCAGTGTTCACACATCTCAGATGAAATAAAGATTCCCACCCCTGGAAGGGTGGGATACCCGTGAGCAGAGACCTGGGCCTTCACTGCTTCTCAGCCAGGCTCTGTTCCTCAAGCCCTTGTTATGTGCCAACTCCACCAAACCAAAGCTCTGAATGCATGCCATCACGTGCGTCCCCCTCCCCATACTACATACAGTAAAGAAGGGCAAGACCAGTCCATGTGCAGAGGCTGTGATGCCAGGGCAGTGTGGTTGGACTGGGCTCCCTGGATAGCCATGATAAGCAAAGATAAATTCTGGGGAAATAGGCATGCTTTAAAGTGATGAGGAAGAGGCACTGAGCGGGCAAGAGGGGCCAGCCGGAGGAGACGGCAGCATTGGGCCGGTGTTGACGTGGGCTCGGAGAGCACTGTGTGCCCACTCCCTTGCCGGATGTCCCCGGCAGAGCCGCTCCTGCTCCCCGTGCTGCTGCCTGGCCTTCTAAAGCGT